GCCGGATACGGAACAGCGGGTGAAATACCCCGCCGCTGATGGGGTTTCGCAGGCCCGCCAATCCTTTTGGGACTCCCACAGGTGTTGGTCTCCTGCGTTGCAACAGACACATCATGCAACCGCTCCCCCTCCATGCCTGCACAGTCCTTGGCGCCGCGTTTGTCTCCACTTCCTCCTTTCCGTGGGGTGCCGCGTGGCGAATTCGTCGCCTTACCCCGAGTTAGAGCGGAAGCTGCTGGGGACCCCCTTGTCAATGAGGTCTCCTCAGCCTCCCCTATGCTTACATCAACGGCGTTGTATGCGACGGTAGCGCTCTTGTCGGTTTCCTGCATTTGTCAGAAGCGCCCACGGGGACCCAGAACAAAGGAATTTGTCCCCAGCAACGACAAGAGTCTGTAGTATATAAAGAGCTGTAATATAGGCGTGTGTGTATTCCCTTGAACCCTCCCCTTTGTTGTTTCGTTTTGATCCCTCCCTCTCCCTCGCTCTCTCTCTCTCTCTAAGTCTATCTCTCTCTATTATTATTTTTTTTATCGTATTGATCAAAAATATCTCCTTGAACTATTCACTTTTACTATTCCTCCCTTGTGTATGTGTGTGTGTGTGTGTGTGTGTGTGTGAGTTTTGCTGACAAACAAATGGACACAAGGTGACTTCCTAACTTACCACGTGGGTGGTCAAGAGCATAAAAGAATGTAGAATGAAAAGGTAAAGCGACGGATGCAAATACTGCGGTCTCACAGCATACGGAGGCGGCCAAGCAAACATAATATATAGTAATATGGCTCAATAAAGTGGCAACAAACACCATATGGTAAAGACTCGCGCACACCCACCGAGTAAATACCTACCCCTTCAACGGGTAACCTACTAAACACCGTTTCTATCTATTTCCCCCTTTTCATGTCGCGATTACAATCCCTTTATGGCGCTGTCCAGGTTGTCTCACGTGTTTGGTGATTGATGTAAAATGGTCGTCCTGTCGTTGGGTCTATCCGCTTCTCCCAGAAAGGTGGCAGTGCATGAGGGCCGGGATTGGGGTCGATAGTGCGCACCGGTATCCCTGTATGCGACTGCTGGGCCCTTTGTGGTGTCATGGCATGTGCCTGCAACGGATGCGTCCAGGTTGTTTCACGTGTTTGGTGATTGACGTAAAACTTGCGTCCCGATTTTGGATCTAAACGTTCCTCCCAGAACGGCGGCAACGGCGTTGTGTCCGGTGCTATGGGCATCGACGTTGAACTCGCTTCTCTTGCCGCGCCTGCAGTATTACTGCTAGTGGCACCTGTCACTGCTTTTGGGAGCGTCCACGAGGTTTGTTTCGTCTGTCGGTTCACATAATACTTACGTCCGCTCGCAGGGTCGACACACTCGTCCCAATCAGTTGCTACTGATGCCACTTCTCCTCCTCCACCTGCCGTTGTTGCTGATGGTACTGACGCCGCGTGCGCATGCGGTACATTTTTGCCTATACCACCTACTTGACACTGTTCTCGCTGCTTCCGGTACCACTCCTCCACCTGGCAATCCAAGTCCATCTGATCTTCAAAGCCGCCTGGATGGTTCCAAGTGGTTTTGAGAATACCGCGGGCGTCTGCGTGAACAAAATAATGACGACGTCGTTGCCGGTCGTACATGAGGCTCCAACCAGCCGGAAGACGTGTCGACACGTCTGGCTCCAGAAACTCACAGCCTGTTGCCGTGTTTTGCTTAACGTCGGTCACCGAAGCAGGTGTGGGCGGCAACGAGAGCGCCGTGTTCATTGCCACACTCACAGGTGGTGTCGCTGTTTCTGTTGGTTTATCCACAGCTAGAGCTGTGGCGGTACTTGTTTGTGAGACAGGGTCAGCCCCCGGTACAACAGGAGCTGCTTTATTCGCACCATCGACTGGGGTCTTCATAGTGCCAGACGTCAGCCTGTCCAACTCTCGCTCCTCTGCACTACTGAGCGCGGGGGCACTAGCCTTCGTGGAGATCATATGTCTGCCTTTTTCCTCCAGCGTATTGTCATCTGGAAGAAAAGGGTTGGGGGATCCCTCAATAGGCGGCGGGTGCGGACAGGAAGAAGCATCCACCGACGGCAACGCGGATGTCCCACGCACTGGCGCAGAGGGCAGTGACAACGTTGAAGACTGCGTCCCAGGTTTGATGTTTGTATTCCTGGTGCTCGGCATCACCACATCCATCCCCGTTAGCCGCTGCTGCAGTTGTTTTAGCTGCACAAGAACAGAGAGTGGGAGTTCTTTTCCTTCATTCTGCAAAGCCGCCAATGCGGCACTTGCAGCCTCCGTGTTTGGGATAAAGTTGATTCCTTCGCCTTTTGTCATTGTTGCAATACCACCGCCGCTACCGTACGTAGGACTCACGTACGCCATCAGCTCGTCCGCCACACTGTCGCCATCGTAAACGACAAAACAGACCCCGCAACCGGCGTTATGCGCCCACTCCAACGCGGAAGCTATGTAGGCGTTCGCTGCAAAGTATACAAGTGTCAAGAACTTCTCTCCCTTGGCTCCTCCTTCGCTAGTATTATTGCCGCGGCCTCCGTGGGTTTTTGCAAGAATTGACATTGTTCTGGTGCAAATGGCAGCGTCAACGGGGGACCCCGCGCGGCTTGGAATGTTGTCAAGCACAATCGTTTGGAAACGAAGGCGACGCAGTGCGGTGATGAGCACTTGGCACTGCGACTGCTCCTCCTCCAAAGCCTTCAGTACGGAGGAGGAAAAAAACACGATGCGTTGCTCCACCGCCGCTGTCCCTGTCGAAGCAAACAGTTGAGTTTCAATGGCGTTCAGCATGTTGTCCACGCCACCACGCACAGCCTCCTCAGAGGTGGGCGCCATGCCGGTAAGAAAATAATCCCCATCAACAAAAAGATTAATCATTTGTCCCTCCCCTCACACCACTGCTCCAGCGAGCACTACAAAACAAATATATATATATATATCTACACTAGCACAAACGGTTAACGAGATCACAAATATTATTTCTTTCCTTTTCCTTTGGCGAGAGCTGCACGCACGCCGAGAAGATCCTGTCCTACCACCACGCCGGTCACAAAATAAGAAAGGGACAAAAAAATTAAAAAAAAAAGGATAAAACCGAGAGGCAGAAAGACACGGACTACGAGGAGGCGCCTTACAAGTCTGCAGAAGGAACGACAGTCAGAAGCAAGAGAGAGAGAGAG